CCACAGGGAATACTGGACAGCTGTTTCATCCTAGTTTTGGGAATCATCGGCATTACGCACCCACCAACAGGGTTCGAACCCAGGACCTTCCGGTTACAAGGCAAGCTGGCTCGTATACCACTCAGCTACTGGGCCCCGATTCAATGGCTCATAAATTCAAACTTCTACCAATGCGTGATGCATTTAGCGCGACCCCAACCAATGTCATCGGTGGGACATCCATCCTCACACGTGACATTTGGATGGACCTCACTGGTTACGACTTCTCACTAGAACTCCGGAAAAACTTCATCCTGTAGGAGGTCAATAGCGAGCATCAGATTAATTTTATATAGTTTGTTTGTAAGGATTAGTTTTGTTTTTACGAGTTGATCACTGATTGATATCAGTTAGAGAACCACTGAAAACCAGCCAAGGAGTACTGGACAACTGTTTCATCCGATTAGTTTGGGAATCATTGGCAGTATGCACCCACTGGGATTCGATTAAAACTATAATATAGGAGTAAATCAATGCAATATGTGAGTTGATGGAAGGTGGCTTTTTTGGTAGCCCAAAGTTCAAGCAGATTGCCTTGATAATTACTCTTAACTGTCAAATGCATCGTAGTCATTCACTCAAGATCCATAATCTAAAAATATAAAGCTACGAGGAAACAGATCAGTGCTCCTATTTTATGCAATGAAGATACTCCTCCCTATAATAGAACTGTAACAACAGAAGACAAAGGCCAGGCAACAGATCGTTTAATAAGGAAAATCAACACATATTTCACTAAGCCGGTAATAAGACCGGTAAAGAAGGGGAGGGGTTGGACTTTAGGCTAGCAACCTCATTCAGTAAAGATAAACATCACCGCCTCTAGCTTGAAGCCCTATGTTCTACTTGGAACGTAAAGGAATAAGGTCCTATGGCCAATGTTCATTCCAAAATATAAAACAAATTACTTATGAGATTCCTTTTCTCTATATGAAGTTAGCTGCTGAACAATAACCTTAAAGATAATAGCAGATATTACAGTGAACTTATTAATAATTAATCTCATTCTGTTTAGCAATCCATTCAGATTATATTTATAGTATTATAGGTTAAAATCTTAATTCAGTGAATTTAATTACTATACCAGTAGCATTTATGAGGGAGTTATTCTTCCTTTTCCCTCTCTTTCCCTCAGCCTCATCATCTTCCTCTCTTAGATTATAAATGTTCTGGCGTTTTATATTTGTGATAGTAATTAGTTTATCACCTTTTAATCAGACATCACCTATTGTACCACTTTCCTCTCGTGTGTGTTTCATCGACAACTTGCTTGTTATTTGATTCTAGGAAACTGATAATGCAGACTACATCTAGCTATCTCTCTATAGAATCAGAAAATATATAATTAGCGAAAATGAAATTATCCAAGAATAAGTTGTCTTTCTAAATAGATTAAAGTGGATTGCACTCAACAACTAGGCCTAAGTAATCAATATTAGTGTGAAGAGCATATTTATAAGATATTTTGAAACTAAAATGTCTCCTATTATTTATTATTATTATTTCCTGGAGTTCCAAATGAAATACAGGATTTCAATAACACATCTTCGTTTTGTCCTGCACTATAAAATCCTCTTCAGCTGGCCGTACGACTGCCCAGAAACATTCAACTCCTCCACTTTGACTCTAGCCTTATGCTTTGTTTCTCGTTCGGGTCCCACTTAAGAGATGGCCTAGCATGTGATGTCAGTGGACAGTATCCTCAGTGGGTGCTCGACCCATCTCCATTTGCTTCAGAATATTTGTTGAGCAGTAGCACTTTGGTTAGTTCGTTCCAGAGTTTCTTGTTGCTAATTCTTTATAGCAAGCTAAGGTTGTTGTTGTTGATAAAAGTCTGCAGCAGGCTGTTGTAAATGCTTCTTTTTTGAAGTGCATGGCAAATCTCTGACTGACCGACCGCATACGAATTTCGTTCTTCATGCTGACTGGACGGAAGAGATTCTCAAATTGATTTTGGAGTGATGGAGGTCAGCCTTTCCTTTCAGACTCTGGTTTTGACATCCTCTTCTGTAATGACTGCCTGTAGTCGAAACGATACTACCTATATAAGTGAAGGTTGTGACTTTTATCAAATTTCTCCCGTTGGTATTGATTGATGCCTGTTGTTGTTGTTGTTATTGATCACCTTCATCGTCTCTATGTCTTCACTATCTGCTTCTTCTACCATCTTGTTGGTTTTGGCCTGCAAGTCTTCAAATTTAAGCGACATCGGAAACAAATTGTCTGCGAAGTTCACACCTTCTGTAACAACAGAAGACAAGGGCCAGGCAACAGATTGTTTATTGAGCGAGATCAACACATATTTATAGATTTTAATGTACATTATTGTAGATTATTGTTAGTAGAAAATGCAGTCTTTTGATTGGTTGTTTCTCACAGAAAGTTAACCTTGCATCTCTTTGTGGCTGTGTCAGATCATCCATATACTAATTGTATCCGCCTACACAAAGCCTTTGTTCTCATTTTCTCACCACCGATATTGGGGACATAAACATTAACGTCAAATACTGTCTACCAACTTTGGCTAGCAGCCAGCTCTCACCACAGAACATACGAATAAACTATTGTTTATCCTTGTTGAATAATTTTAACACATTGAACATAGAAACATATATTTGCTATAATTCATTGCAACACTTAGGGGACATGCTTCGGATGATTCATCGTCAAAATGTTCTTAATGACTGCACTAACTGAAAAGGGATCAGTAAGTCCCAAATTCGATCTTATAATTCTTGAGGAAAAACAGATTTCTTATTCAGCGATTTCATTTTCAAGCAGATGTACAGTCGTATTCATATTACAGAAAAAGAAGGCATTAAGTGGCACTAGAAATTGCTCAATCAATATTGCATATATAATAAAAATAAAGATAATTAAAATGATGTACTAAGGCGGTAGAGTTGGAGTGGATGAATTACAAAACTTTTAAAGATTATTAAATAAGTGAACTGGTATAGAGATTTTAAACTGTATGTCAGGTGTTGTCTGAAAAATTAAGAATAAGATAAGACGGTGGAGATGAAGTGAAGTGGAATGAATTCGAGTGAAAAAATAGAAAAAAAAATAAAAGAACATCATTATGACCAAGGTAAAGAAAAGGGTTTAAGAAAGAGTTTTTGAACACATAATTTAGATTTTGTCCATGTATAGCTAGAGTTTTGGCTAAAAAACTGTGGAAAAGTTAGTCTTAAACCTTCACTTGAAGCCTTTAACGATCCCAAACAATTCGCCTATAAACACAGTAGAAGAACTTTAGATGAGGCTGAAGTCTTGCATCATAACATTGTCTCCAGTTTGGACAAGGGGGCTAAATTTGTTCACTGCACCTTCCTAGATTACACATCTGCTTTCGACTCAGTACCTAGAGATATTTTGTTAAATAAGCTTGCTGAAACTCAAGCTGACCGTTGGGTTGTCAAATGGCTGCATTCTTATTTATCAGGAAGAAAGCAGTGCATTGTATATCAGGGAAAGTCGTCCACTTCGTTGCTTACTGGTGTCCCTCAAGGCGCTGTCCTTTCGCCTCTTCTGTTTTCTTTCTTCTTGTATGACCTGCCTCATCCTGATGAAATGAACATTGTTAAGTATGCGGACGATCTAACTATTTCAATGTTTGTTAACTCCCAGCTAGTCTGTACTAAGATGAAAGCTTTCAATCAGGAGTTAGCAAATGGTCTTCGTCTAATGGCCTTAAACTAAATCCTTCCAAATGTTAGACTGTTAATTTCAGCTACCGATGTAAGAGAAAGTTAAATGAATTTGCTGGTTCCTATGACCCTTGCAAAATTGATGACAGTGATATAGAAATCAAGTCTGAAGTTAAATATCTTGGATTAATTCTTTCTTCTGACCTATCCTGGTCTTCCTGTGTCTTAGCGATTTCTAAAAGAATATTTCATTTGACTTTTTACATTTTGAAGTTGAGGCACTCAGGCATAACCCAACCCCTCCTCTTACAGTTTGTCAACTCTTACATCTTACCTATTCTTCTTTACTGTTCACCCTTATTCTTTCTTGGATTGCTTAAAAAAGACTATGTCATACTTCGTAGAACTCTGAAGACTGTCAGTAGGACGAGTGGTATCCCATTGGGCCATATCGTTGGCATTGTCACCGATAGCCATTTGATGTCATGCAACAGATTCGCTAGAGGAATTTTGTCAGACTGTGAGAACCCACTCTACCCGCAGCTCCAACCTTGTGTCTCAGAAGACTTTATGCACGTACGTCTTTTTTTTGCTGAGAATTCCATTTGTGTATTATAAGTACTGTTTTTGGAATAAAGTAGATTATTATTATTATAAGTGGAGAAGACGTAAGCTTTTCGAGTGATTGGATTTAGTCGTGTAGATAACTTTAAAGGATAAATCATGTTGGGCCTGAATGACCTGACTGTAGGAGGTTTTCACAGATTGAACACTGTATCGCCCTTTGTTCACCTTTCATTAACCAAACCGGTTAGTATTCAGCTACACGTTTACGGAGAACACGTTTACAACGTCCAATGTAATTAGCAGCTCCACATGAGCATGTGGATGAGTATATGCACATAGAAGTGGACATAAGCCGTAGTCTATCCTTAACGCATTGTTGAATCACATTTCCGTTGGTAAATACTAAATGTAAGTCAGCTGCATATAAACAGCGTTTAAAACATCTAAATAAACAACTTTTAATCACTTCAGGAATAGTGTCACTTTTGAACGCCAAAGTCATAAACAGTGTCATCCTTGTCACTGTGATTTGGCTGGGGATGGTTTCTTTACTGGTGTTTCTGTCAATAAACATATAATTCTGTCAGTGAACATTAAGTTACATAATGTCAGTTCTAACCAAGGAAGAGTCTACTTTCAATTTCTTCATAAAGCCCATCATATAATTTTCTGGTAAGATTTATGCTACTTACTAAATATGTAGTAAGCTAAAATGAATTTCGAAACTTTTCAGGTTAATATGTGAGTCTTACAGGAAAAACGAATAAAACAGTTAAGAAATCATATTTATTCAGGGTAATAAAATGAATTTTACAAACTGATCAGTGAATAAGAAGAATGTTGGACTCTTTACAATATAAATGTATTTTGTTTTGTATTTTTTACAAGAGAAAAAAATGTGATGGAGTTGTTTAGTTAAAAAAATGTAATCTATAGTTCTCTGAATAGTTACCATTGAAAATTGAATAAATTGTACCGCATGATTCAATGTGCTTACACATCTAAATATTTAAGCTACACAATTTCAAAATAGTAGTAGTAGTAATAATAATAGCAGTATTCTTTGTATTAGATTAGTCTAAAATATGTAATTGTTTTTGTCTTTTCTTTTCGGATAATTGTTTACATAAGGCGACCTAAGTACAATGAGAAAAGAAACTATGGTATTCACAGCCAATCAGACAGACGTTGGGGGGGGTTGTTTGCTTAATGTGATCAACTTTCAAATGGACTATGCACAAAACTATCTGTGTACATCCTTACGCCATAGTTATTACATGCTCAAAATACTGACTCATCTTCAATAAAACTGAATGAAGTTCGGTTTGCTTAGCCAATATGGCTATGTCGCATGAGACCACAATTTACACTAAGACTGCATTACATTTCACATAATACTTGAAGTGTATGTAAAGTTATTGCAAAAATAGTATTTGTAATTGTATTATTGCTAGTATTGTTACTACTATTGTTACTATTATTATTATTATTATTGATATTAGCTGTAGTCGTATTTGTTGGCAGAAATATACATTTTTCTTCCTGTGAAACTGTAAAATGTTTAAAAACGTCTGATTTTTTTCGTTGGTATTTTCATTTCCGTTCATCTACAACTCTCTGTCTGTCTGCACACAATACTAATAATTATACTGTATAGACTGTATGTGAAAACTAAAAAATAGTTGTTGTATTAGGTATTTTTTTCTTCTCATAACAAAAGGAAACAAGAAAACTCAAAAATAAAATCCCCCCAACCCCGAAAAAGAAACCAAAAACATACAAAAACAAACAAAACATGAAAGAGTAATATGAAGTGATGAAGTGGATTCCTGTTGAGTTGAATTCATCTGTCATTGAAATCGAGTTGGGTCTGTTGGGGCTGGGTGAGGGGGGGGGTGGTGTAAAAAGGCAGACTTAATTAGAAGTTTGAATATGCGTATTTTTCGATGACCCTGTCTTTGTACTGTTCTTTAGCGATTTACTACGGAAAAGTACCTGTTTAATTTTCGTCATTGGAGATTTCACTTTTGGAGGAGGCTAAATATGAAAAAAGGAGCGGAAAAAAGAGAAGAAAAGAAAGTGATAATCAGTTATTGATGATTATTGATTTTTAATGAAAAGAACTGAACGAAATAGTTTTTATTTTATAGATGAACAGATGCGTTTTACAAACGAGTAAAGTTATTTCACACTGCCAGTATAATATAAAAGTTATTTAACGTTTTGAGGAGGAACTAGATGCAATTAAGTCGCTGAGATAAAGGTTCCTTCAGAAGGGTACATTTTACTTCAACCAGTTAACTTCAGGGGGAGAATGCTCATCAAGCGCGACTCACCTGGTCCGGAGTTCGATCCCCAACTGACGCACTCTCACACCTCCGTAAGCTGGTAGTGAAGCCGGTAAAGAGGGAAGGTTGGGTATGACGTTAGCAACGCAACCCCGGGAAAATTAAAGGCCACTGCTACCAAAACTTCCACTCGGAACGTACAGGAACAAAAACAAATAAGCTGACTTGATACTTCACTTACATTCTTTTCAATATTATAAACAGTTTATAATACAAGTGAAAATGTCATAAGTGTATCGATAAATTAACCATAAAAGCGAACGTTTACAAGATTTTCGCTTGCTGCTGAAAACAAAGAAATTACGTGTAATGTGGTCATGAGAATGAAACATTTTCTCTGTTGCAGACAAAAGCAACAAGCCATTTAGTCGTTAAGGTTGAATTTAGTAGCCCAAGTTTCGGACTCAAGACCCATTGGCTACAACAAGTCCAATGGCTTAGCAGATGAGCCAATAATACAAATATTCTAATGCAAAATAACGACATTTTCAGCATCTTTAGTGAGGGAAGAAGGTGAGCTTAAGACTTCAACAACACCGTTATGCTAGATACTTTTCTGGTACCAAACAAGTACTGTAGAACAAAATTAGTTAATCAGAATTCCGCTGAACAAAGTACCTTAGATGCAAGTAGAATATTCCCAATAAGGTGCGACCAAAAACTCTGTCTACAAGCATCACATACTAACAATTCCAACAGACAGTCCAAAATCAGAATGGCCTGGATTCATTCAAACAAAATCTTGTCGAGAAATAACACCTTATCAATACATCACACAATATCACAAAGAGAAGTATTAACATTAGAGATTAAACAGGAATAAAGACAAATAGTGGGGAATGATCAAGTCAACATGTGATATGCAGTTGTCAGAACAATCATATACAGCCTAGGCGAGGAAGGATAATAAATTAGAAGATATTTGAATTCAAATTAACAACAGTAATTCTCACAGTAAGTGACTAGTTGATAAACGTTTTAATGAGATTGGTTGAGTGCAGTGAACTAGGAACCGTTCGTACTTGTCCATACGCATCAACAAGACGTGTCTGTAGCCTCAGAGAAACCCCTTCCTCATCCGAGACTCGAACCCGCGTTATCCAGCTGTGCAGTCGAAGACATTACAACTGAGCAATTTGAGCTGATGACTGACTTTCTGCAAAACTGAGAAATATAATTACATCATTATATTTCTACTCCTTGGGTTGGTTCTGACAGAACTCCATCAGTCAAGTGTGAAATCTGGTAACGGTAGATTTCGTTAACGAAATCAAATCAAAGTACTCAATCATTCCTGTTTACAAATCAAGGTTATGAAATACAAAAAAACTTAAATAGATTTTATTAAAATCCTATTTTATTAGCCGAGATTTTTGAAAAACACCTAAATGTGACGTGTTCAAATAAAAATAAGAGTCATTTGACACTAAAAGTGTAGCGACGGATCTGTTACGAAGAAACCGACATGTTGTAGTTGAACTTGGAAAAACAATCTAGTCATTCTACTGTATGGCCAACGAAAACCTCCTCCACACACACACACACACACACAATTACAAAACGCTTCAAAGTCAGCAAATCACGGTTATCCATCGTGAAATCTATGTGGTCCTATTCATAACATTAATAACATCAAAAACTCAAAATTACACCCTAAATCCCACCAGGCAGCTATACAGGTCAGATAAGTTCCTAAGTACGAAATAAGTAATGTAGACCAAAATTAGCTAACCAAAATTCAATCTCAGGAAGTATCTTAGAATCAAGTAGAGTATTATCTACTCCCTGAATGAAAATCACACGCCAAACAGTTCTCGCAAACAATTCAAGGTCACTCAAATTTAATCACATCGTAAAACAACACATTATCAATATCATCATCACACAAACAAAGAGAGAAGCATTCACATTAGAGATTAAACAGGAGTGGAGACAAACATTAAGGATTAATTCAGTATATATGGTACGCAAATGTCAGAACAATGATATACGGTCTAGAAGAGGAAAGGATAATAATTACGAAGTTACTTGAAACATGCAAATAATTGTTGATATTGTAATGAGGTCGTTGGGGAAGGATTTCTCAAACAATTATTCCATTATAGTTTGATCCTGACTTATATGGTTTATTCTTAACTGCTTCCAGTAAGTGAGTTAGTTCAGAAGGAGAACATCTTGTCGGTTAAAGGTTACGTGCTTTTGATTGAAGTCAGGCTCAAAATTAATTAATTAAACTTAGAATACTGAGACTTTAATTCATAACGCATATTTCATTCTTATTATTTGTGGCACTATTATTTTTATTTTTAGCAACTACTTTTTAGTCACGTTAATCTATGGAGGTAAAGAGAACTAAACGGAAGAGTTATCATTTTCAGCTAAATTTAGCTTTCAAAATGCCTATTCACCAGATTACTTTTCAATTAAGATGACTAATTTAGGAGGGTAACTTAGTGACATCACCTAGCTTATAATGTCAGGGTGTTAGGATTGACAATCTAGCCTTGTTAGCCGTGAAGTCATGATTGATGCATGCACTGACATTATAATCTGATTGGACAAATTCGATTAATTCATTTCTGGAGGATCTTTAAGGCAATAACCTTTTTGGAAGCAGCTATTGGATTCAATGGAGCCATAATAAATTTTGACGACGAACGAACCCAGTTCCTAGTATAATTCAGTACTGTATCCAGTCATATCGGTATCATATCAATATCAATTCTCAACGGAGGGTGTAACAGTGTCCTTTAGTTTTGAGTAAGTGCTGTTAAAACAGAAACAGAAGCAGTATGAAGACTTTCAATTGAAGCCGTTCGAAGTGCTTCCTAGTAAATTATCTTTGCAGTCGTCTAGTCATCTCGGTAATTTTAATTTGATTTTATTATAGCTTGATTCCACACAGTATTTTCGTAGAAGTATGGAATTTTCAGCATGTGATATAGGTAGTTCAAATTTAGCAGGCCGACCATTTATATCAGGTGTATGTCGCCAAGGGATAGAAACACGGAGCTTGTGCATGGTCGACGAGCGTCCTAACCACTGTGCCATTGACGCACAGAAGATTACTCTTGAGTCTGGCGCCTTAGAACTCTCGGCCACCCCGACCTCAAACCTCTTGAGACCTCCGGGAGCCGAACCCAGATCGACTGCTTGGAAGGCAGCCATGATAACCGCTACAGTGACAGTATTGATTCTATCTTCTAATCAGCCACAGAAGTTCAGAGCACTTTATCAGTCGACGCATTATTTGCACAGTTGGGTTTCAGTGAATCCACGAAGGTTGATGTTACAAATCAGATCAAGAATCTGGATTCGAATAACGCATCAAAATCCTGTGAAGACACTTCAAACTTAGGCAGTGAAATCTCTGTTAATTTTCAATTCAAGTATTGGTTTGTAGGGATTGGATTGATTGGTTACAGGATTTCATCATGATCTGACATTGGTTAGAGAACCATTGGAAAACCTGGGAGTACTGGACAGCTGTTTTGTTCGAACCCGGTGGGTGCGTACTGATGACGAGTCCCAAACTAGGACGAAACAGCTGTCCAGAACTCCCAGGTTTTCCAATGGTTCTGCAACCAATGTCAGCTCATGATGAAATCCTGTAACCAATTTTCAATTCATTTAAAAGAATTTTAAAGATTTATGTCGTTTTACCAATTGTCCTGATTTGGATCTGTTGGGCATCGATTTGATTGATAAACTATCCCTTTGAGGAATACATTTTTGTGATACTGACTTTGATGAAACGATGCGAATTCTTCGTAAAATCTATGACGAAAATACATCGTTATTCACTATCTACTACAAGTATTCAATTCTGTCCAGAGAACAGTGTGATCACTTCCTTACTTTTCCTGGTGAAGCCAACCGTGCATCAAGCAAGGGTCTACACTGTTTCACATTGGTGGGAGGTATCATAGACGTAGAGTACACGAACCTACAGATGTCGTCCAGTAGTCCTTTAGTTGAAAATCTATTAAAAAAGGGAGGTGTTAGGACGGACAACCTAGAGTTGTTAGCCGTGAAGCTATAACTGATGCATGCACTGATGTGACACTCTGATTGGACAGTTTTGATTGGTTTATTTTTGGAGGATCTTCAGTGCCATGAAATCATTCGGATATTGATTACTTATTTATGGCTTAAATATCCATAGATGTGTAAAAGATATACATATATATACCCTACATTATGAATATTTAAAGGTTATCTCTGTTGTCGTCTTGTCTCAGTTGTATCTGAATTTAATGTCTATCACAGTGTAGGGAATATTTCCAAATGATCACCTGGTTACTGCATTGTGTCTGGAGGCGCATCCTAGTCAAGTTAGACGACAAGCACAGTTTAGTAACACAGTTACGACTTAAGACCATTTTAACAACAAGATAAGAGAGATTATTCGATTATTAAATAGTGATTATGATAATGTGATGTGTATGAAATACAACGACTGAAATTATAAAGATTCCTTCGCAAAAATGTAGTATCCATCTTCACTACTGCAGCACCTGATGTGTGGACTTATAAAGCCAGTGCTTAGTTGAGCAGTGCTAAGATGAAATTTGCCATCCGTATTTAGTACTATTTCAATTTTAGTTAAACCAAGCCAAAAGATTTTAACTCTATATCTTACAGATAACAGAAATATAAGCTGAAAGTTAGAATTCATGGATTGGCCAT